TAATATTCGGGGTAGTTTTATTAAATATCACTTATTTCCTCAAATGCAGTGGAAATTGCACTTATTAAAAGTCCTCGTCTTTGCGTAGTTCCTTCTAAAGGATCTCAAACTCGTGGCCTTTGATTTGGCAAATTTACAATTTGTTGTATTTCACAGAATGCCAATTGCAAATCCATACTTTTATTTTCCTAAACGAACTTTTACTGAATGGGTATGTAGGGGAAAAAACAGTAAAATACAGTCTCAACCGGCCTGGCTTGTGTTTTAGCAGGCATACTGCCAGGGCTGAACGCCTACGAGAATTCAAGCGATGGAGAGAGTGATGATGACAGTTCCACGGACGTGGAAGACGCTACACGTACTATATCTTCAAACAATGTTTGCCGCGTCAATTTGTATGAGATTGTATTTATGAGCTTTCGATACACACTTCAAATAGGCCAAGTCCGTAATCCTTTGCCAGCCTATGAATGCTACTTCTACACTAAAATTATCGCTTGTAAATAAACATTAGGTATTGCTACTGTTTATTTATGTATTGTAGTGTAGCATGTTTCAGTACAACTGGGTTGGTTCTTTTTTGTGCATTTTTAAAAATACCTTAAACAGTTGGACAAGGAAAATAATAGGGGTCATAATGGCCGCATTTTTTGGATCTGTTCAAAACTGAAGACGCTTACAATGCGCTGAGCATACAGTTGGTTAAGAAGCTAACAACCAAAGTTTGACAAGGCCTATTGCCTATATGTTCTTCCATGAAAATGTCAAAAATCTAATTCTACTTTGTATCTTATCAGTGAAATTGCCGGTATCTAATTCAGTTTGCCTTTAAGGTATATTTACTGCCTTAAGGCAAACTATGGATGGGGCCTTTCATAAAACAGAAGAACGGAAGCTTAGTTGTATTACGTTCGTTTGAAATACAGGTAAGTAATGTGTCAGTAAATGCAAAGCTTGAATACTTTAAATAAGAGATCTAACTCTAGCCCAGAGTGAAATCTAGATTATCATCAAAACGATCAAATTATGGTGCGGTTAGTGGCGTTGATGGTCTTCGCCTTATGAGCTTCTAAGCTGCTTTGACGATTGGCGATATCTAAATCAGAATGAGATGGACAAATCTGCGCAATTGCAAAATTTAATCTACTAATTGTTCTTGTTAAGACAAGCTGGTCTTTTCGCCTTTGATGCCCCTAGAACAAAAAATCCTTTCTGCCACTTCTAGACCAGGTTGTCGAAGTGACGCATACATTACCTTTGTTTCCCCACAAGCACTTCAACTTGTCGTTTATGTACTCGTACAGCTCTCTTTGATCTCCTTTTTAATTACCTCAATACGATGGACTTTGGTCTATATTCAACTCTTAGTGTTGTATTGAACTTAGGACCTCTTCTGCTAGATTCGCCTTAGTCCCAACTAGTACTCCTGCGGCACTATCTTGAGTTTTACTCGGAATAACCGCCATTATCGTCCACCACAATCTCAGTCCCTCCTGAAACATTGAGCAAGCTGATTTACGTTTTCTGATTACCTATGATGGTTTGAAACCGGTAAGGTACTTACCCTCGACAATAAATTAGAATTTATTTGCCCAAAAATGAACTTTCCTTCATCGCGTCTGGATACCAATTGAACACAATCATGCGTTCGTAAACGCAGTTTCATACTGGTACCTTTAGTATAAGATTAAATTCCATTTTGGAAAAGGGGCTAACCATTACCCGCAATTTTCAGTCCCGGCAGCTGTTCTTCAGCAGCTGGACTAGGTGAGAGGAGGTTACTATTTGAATAAAAGGGTTGTCAAGAACGCACTTATTAAACTATATTAACTTGGAAGATACCCCTGAACTATCCAATCGATGCAAGTGGATGGTTAAAACAGCTTCAATACAACTTTAAGTGCTAGGAATAGCAAAAGTAACAAAAAGTCCTTTATAATACAGCAAAAGGTATTGGGTACAACAGTAGGGTAGGGCATACTCTGTACAAAGTAGAAATTGAAATCGAAAAAAAGGGGAGATGGGGACAACATCTTCCAATTCAATCGTCCCCATCCGACTTCTTTTTCGAGTATGTATCAATGATTGCAGATATAGTACGTGCAGCGTCTTCCACGTCCGTGGAACTGTCATCATCACTCTCTTCATCGCTTGAATTCTCGTAGGCGTTCAGCCCTGGCAGTATACCCGCTAAAACACAAGCCGGGCCGGTTGAGGCTGTATTTTCCTGCCTTTTTTCCTCTGCGTACCCAATCAGTGAAAGTAGAAGTTAGTTTAAGGAGTTAAGAGCATAGATTTATAATTGGCATTCTGTGACATCACCGATCTACTACTCTAATACGATACTACATAGGACATTACTAAAAATGCATAATTAAAGGTTTTAAATAGTTGCAAGTTATTAGTAATCATGAATTTATTATGATAGCGGTGTAGCAAGGTAAAGTGCAAATCTACCAATAAGGAATACCTAGTAAAAGGCAGAGCTAACTTTGATATCTAAAATCGATCAATGGAAAGATGGTGCAGTAGGAATTTTACCAATAATGCAACTAAAAGGGTGGATAAAACCATAATAATAGTTTTAGTACATAAATGCACAAAAAGGGAAACAGGACAGGACACTGCGAGGAGAGCAAATCACACAAAGGTCACTCAATATTTGCTCCTTCATAATTCCATTTAAGAACAAAGACGAACTACCATTATTTAAAAAAAGAAGCAGTGGGGTTAAATGAAAAACAGCAGAGCAATATTTTCTCATTAAGGTGGAAAGAAAATTTTCACTCGCAGTGGTTATGAGAAGGCAAAAACCATGGAGGTGGCAAAAGGGTGTTTTGAATAGCATGTAATGTTATTTTTAAGAACATGACACCTGCCAAAATAAATAGTATTTTTGAATAACCATGTCATGCTCAGTTGATGTAAAATTAAATATCCAAATCCAATTGAATGAATAGAGTTTACAAAAATCTGCGCACTCCAAATTTTAATCATTTATCTCTATATTGAAACTGTATGTGGTTGTTTATCGTTTAAGATTATTTGAGTTTATCATCACTCGGAAAAAAGCGTTTTGGAGCGCCAAGACCGATCCTTCTGGACAAAAATAACAACCAGCCAATAAGCACTTAACAAGTAGATAGTACAGTTCAGGGAAGGAAGTAAGATAACATCCTTACCCTCAGCATCTATTTGACCATCTGTTGGCCTTGTTGGTAAAACAAATTAGGTGCTTCGCTAAGGTGAAACATCTACGAATTACTGAGAATAATATTAATAAAAAATGAAAGGTGCCGATAGTTTAGCAATCAACTTGAAGGTCAGTCGAGACCGGGATTCGATATCAATGTAGTGACCGACAGAACAAAAATAAGAAACCTAGTTACATAAAATGCTTATTGAGAAAGCTCACTTAGGAGTCTGAGAATTATTAACATCACTATGAAATAGACTAAGGCCATTTGTATACAAATAATTGTATAGAAAATCAGAACCGATTACAGTGATTGAAAGAGATCAAAATTGACGGTCCACAGGCTAATAACAAATTAGGTTTTTAATTGTAGAAAGGTAGCTGAGCACCTGGTAGATCCCAAACGCCGTTATGGAGAGGGAAACTAATAAAAGCGAAAAGAATATCAAGAGGTCATTCAGATTCTAATTACTAAATGCATATAGTCTACAACAATATGCTCTGAGATCAGGATTTTAGTGTTCGGAGTTAAGTAGAAAAAACCAAATGAAATAGTATTGTATACAATAGTCCCGTAAAATGATCCCATAACTGGTGTATGAGAAGTGAGAATGGAACAAAATTTCAGTTCAGGCACAACATTATGAAGTCAAATTAGTAAACACTTACTAGCAATGTAATCCACTTTCCAAGGAAAAGGGTGGAAAGATATTTATTAGAGGCTTACAAAGATGACTTCAATGGAAATAAAAAACCAGACATTTCATTCAAGCAAAGTGATTACAACACTTAAGACAAAAAGAAAATATGGAAGTTTTATCACCGACGAACACTGTTCTTCAAACACTAGCTCCACTTAACAATTTAAAGGATTTTGCAGGCGGGATAACCCCATGACAATATTTATCATAATAACTTTCAAGTCCATTTAGTAAAGCGTTTAACATCATCCGGTTACAATTATATTAGCAAGAGGCGACCTCAATTCTGACTTTAGAAGTCAGATTAAATCAACACAAGGCACATTTCAACAAAAGTATGCACCAATGTATAAATGATCGCTAATTTAATCAAGGAGCACATTGACCATTGCGACATTTCCAGCATGAAAATCCTGTTTCATCAACATTAAGACTAAAACAACAGGACTTGAGAAAAGATTTTAAACGAATCGTATTATGGCCTCAACAAATGCAAATCCCACTTTAAGCAAACCGGTATCACGTAAAAAACCCTAAGAGACTGGAAAAAACTCGATCATATTTATCCAAAGCAAATGCCTTTTTGGAATTCAATAGGTGTGGTTAAATCTCATATAAAAATAGGAAAGACACACACCATTGGACTCAGATGTCGGAGGATTAGAAGATGAGCTATTTGAATCGATAGTATCTGTAAGAAAATAAAAATTCCGTAAATTAAATAAGAATATACACAACTAAAGCTTACCACCACTTTGTTCCAGATGCGGCTTCTTGGGTGCGCTTTCGTAAGTTGAACTTGGCCTGGAATGAATTAGAATTAACTAATGTAATAACTCTAGTAAAGCCATTAATATTCAAAAGAAAACAAACGGTTTTCTCTTGATCCCTGAGAGCAGAGCTTTTTGATTAAGGGTGGAAGAGGAAGTAGGTAAAGAAGCACGATTAATTTGAGGTTTGACTGGAATAGCTGGGGAAACCGATGACTTCAATAAAGCAGACCTATTCACCGCGTAAACTGAAAGTTAAGGAAGATATTTGCCAAAAATAAAAAAATTAACTAAATGTGAAGAATGAAAGGATATTTTTGCTTCCTCGATAAGTTTACGAGCTTCTTCTTCAGCCGACTCCTCATTACGACACCTTTCCAAGTCTTTCTCTGCAAGGAAAGCAACTTCTTCATCGTCCAATCGATGAATTTGATTCTTAAAAGCTTTTTGGGATTCATATTCTTCCTGCTTACGAGCACGTTCAGCCTAAAGCGATTATAGATTATACGGATTACTTGAAGGCGATCATAGAGAGGACGAGGATCGTACGCTTCTTCTACTTTCCCTTCAGCAGCATCCCTAGCTTTCCTCTCTTCAATATCCTTTTCGGAGATAAATCGAGGCGCATTTGACGACATAGTATTATCAAAGTAAGCAGAATGCGACAATAGGAGTCAGTAACAATCGCCCTGCCAAAAAGCCAAAGTGTTAAAACAATTAAATTTCAGCAGTCAAAAAAATATATAATCAAATTTGAAAAAAACAATCGAATATTTTCATTAATTATATAGAAACTGATACAAATTATTGCGCACTAAACATTTTCTTCATTGATGAGTTATTTCTATTATTTATATATTTTATATTTTCACACCGTTTTTACTTTACTCAACTCTACTATATGCTTTACTTTTCATTGAACTACCTTGAGAATGAAATTGTCCTTAAAATGCCTCTTGCTATCATATGGCCTGTCGTATTTTCGCCGCAAAATGTTGTTGCCTTTCTCTATTTAATAGCTTCTCTTCTTTCGTATTTTACCTTGCCCATTTACAATTATCAACAATTTTTTCAGTCTCTTCCTCTTTTAAGTTCGATTTTTCTATTTGGAAAATCTACTATTTATTCACCCATTTATTCATTTTTGCTCGTGCCAAAACGCTGGTTCCGTCATTTCTACTTTACTGCCATTCTTATTTCCCTATCAACCCTGTTAACGTCACTAACATACCATGGTTAGTTCACCTTTGTTTTCAACTCGTATTGCAGGAAGTTTGTCTACAAGAATTGCACTCATGGTTGTTGTCATTCAAACTACCAAACGTCTTTATGAAAGTATTTACGTACAGATATTCTCTAAAAGCGTCATGTCAATAGTGCACTACTTTGTTGGACATTATTTTTATCTTACTATGCCACTTTCTATTTATTGGAGCGACAAATTTTCTGGTAGATGAACATTTTTTTACATAGCTTTTTTATTAGATAGTGATGGCTATTTTAAAATGGGGTTCTACTTTATTTGTGCTTCGGTTGTGATCATGTTGCAGCATGTTGTGATGTTACAGCTTGCTGATATTAGGAAGAATGTTCCAAGAGGTAGGGTTCAATTTGTACTTCTTAAATTTTTTATTTTTTAGGTGAACGAAACACTTACCATGTTCCAACAGGCTACATGTTTACCCATGTAACTTGTCCGCATTTCGCGCTGGAGATACTACTCTACGCTATCATTCATTTAATTCTCGGACTTTGTTGGCTACCCTTTACGCCGACATTTATCTTTGTTCTCTCAAATCAAATTTGCTCCGGTGTGATCAACCACATGTGGTATCAAAAGAATTACTCCGATTTTGCAAAGTCTAGAAAAATCCTAATTCCTTTTGTATTTTGATTTCAGTATTTTGTACGATTTCCCCTATTAGATTTGTAACTATTTACCTCTTAATTTTATAGAAGTTCAATTCCCTCTTTAGGGTATGAAAGAGAATGGCCTCAAAATTTCTATTCGCAGAAATTTGGTGTGTTAAAAGGTTTGTTTACGGTACAGTGGGAAATGCGCATTGTAGCACCACCACCCCTCCCCTTAACCAAAATTAGCTATCCTATGATTGGATGTTCACTGAGTAACATTAGTTCTGTTTTATTTGAATTTATTGGAATGTATAACAATCAGTACAGCTTATGTTTTATTGTTTTTTTTTATTTAGCTTGAGGTTATTAATTGGCCTAAAGATGGTGACTTTGAACAAAATGCTATTATTTCAGAGTGGGAAACAAGGGTCCTTCTCATTTCGCCTGTTTACCCTAATTCATCAAACTTCGACAATAGACCATGACTGTGTCGCTTGAACGCCACATTTTAAAATCCATAAATGACACGTCTTAACTGGTCAAATGCTCCACAAATAATACTTCTTATATGATGGATGGGGAAGTGTTGTTCGGACATTCATTTTATATCAACTGAATAGCATGATCACTGATTTATGTGTTACTGAATAAGCCTAGAGTTTCATCAGTTGTAGAAGGATTAAATTGAAATTGTGGATATGATCTAATAGGCGATTTTCAAGGAGTCGGAAATGGTTATATTTGTCGCACGGGCTGTTGGGAGGAAGTATCAACAACAGGTGTGACTGTTTTATTCCCGAGTGAGATAAATTATGCACTGGGTGTGAAAATATGAATATTGTAACGTCAAGAAGCGTTTTTAATGCGCACACTGTATTGTTGCTACTAACACTTATTAAAGTAGAATTGTACTAGTTATTCATCAGTGCATTACAGACTCTGCGGCTGAAAAAAATTTTTCTGCTTGGTCATTTGAATTAACAAAATACTATTGTGAAGAGAAAATTCACGTTGAATGTTTGGTGTATATCAATCATTAATGGTAGGTTTCGTAAAATGCAAATTAGCCAAAGTTTCTTCACTCCTTAAAGGTAGTAAGAACGCTTGAAGGTTCTTTTAATCTCGATTTACTTTGAAGAAGCCCCATTATGCTAAATTATTTGCCCAATAGTGGTCTCCTACCATCTGAATTGTTGTGTATCGGCTTCAAATCCCATCTGGGAAAGCTTTACTCAACGTCAATATTGCATAGAGTAAGGTGTGCGATAGACTCATCTCTACGTGGCGCACTCTGGGCAACGTATACTCATACGGCAAAAAGTCTATTAACCGGCAGTCGACTTCTAACTACTATGACCCCACTGTATGTCATATTCCCCAACTTCCACAATACTCATCTTACCTTCTTCTCTACCTTTGTGTCTGTCTGTCTCTTTTACATCTGTGAATCACTCTTCACTAACAAAACGCCTGCAATCTGAAATAAATTAATATTCCATGGAATTATACCGTTAGTAAGTGGCCCTATTTTGGTCAAGTGCCGAATAAATTACTGATTGGGAATATTTGTAATATTTTCCCTTGAAATATTGGAAACAGAGTACATTCTACAATCTCAAAGCCCCAACGTGTTGTTTGAATGAATTGGTTAATTAGATTAGTCCTAATGTTGATACTGAAATTCAAAAAATGTGTTTCAATTCCAACTTGATGATATTGTCGTTAATGAGTAATTTAAGGCATCTACCATATCTAGATATTCGCATTAAAATTAACTCTAAAGCTTAAACTTTTTTCAAATACTCATCGTGGGTAGAATCAAGTTTCATGATATTTCTTTGACACTGAGCCAGTAATCCTCTGACGCGGCAGACGTGCATGGGCTACTTGCAATTTACCAAATTACCCTATAATCGAAACACCACTGGTCAGTGAAAATACGATTGATCTGGAGGTCAGTAATGAGGTCTTAAATTCACTGGTAGGAATAACCCTATTTGCATAAAGATAATCATTTCAGATTTACTTAATCAATAATTAGCGTGCATTTGTAGATCGGGCATAAGCTTAAGAGCACTTTTTTAAAAGAGTCTGGTTTGAGTTAACTGTGTATTTTGATCGAATTTTTTCCCTTTAATGTAACTTCGTTTTTAACTTTGAAGATAGCCGTAGGCATTACGTAGTAATTTCATTTACATTTTCATTAGTTGTTTGAATTTAAAACACTTCGAACTTCATGCATTTGGTCGTCTCTTTTTCGTAGGCTACACAAATAATCCTAGAGTGGAACTCAACAATCTCTATGCAGCAAATTCCTCCTATTGGCCAATCGTATTTGCTTCAAAAAGTGCAATAAAATTATTGATTAGTTACTACAAAAACCATATTTCACGCCACAAAAATATAAAATATTACATTAACGCTCATTTAAGTTAGCATAAGCTATGAAATTTTAATTGAGCCTTTAAATGTCTTGTAAGATAATCTAAAGGAATTTATCGATCACCGTTTCGTCAATACAATTCCCCAATCCTCGTGACTCATCGTAACGCATAATGTTCTACTAAGCAGTCGAATGAAATGAAATAGTTGTCAGAACGCATAAAAAACACTTTTGAAAAATATCGTTCATTTTAATAATAATTTTGGGAAAGCGCTTAAATAAGGGGTGCCAAAGAGAAGCTGAATAAATTCAAGCCATAAAAAATACTAATTAAATTTCGAATTTCTATTAAGTTTGTTATTTATTTATTTATTTCAAAAGGCAGGCATTTTGATAGTTATCAATAGCCCTTTAGCGAGAGCGATTGATTCATAGATGTAAAAAGACAGAGGGCCACAAAGGGAGAGAAAAGAGAAAGGTGCGTACTGCGGAATTGATGGAATATCACATGTAATGGGGTCATGGTAGTTAGAAGTCAGAAGTCAAATGCCGGTTAATAGACTTTTTGTCGTATGAGTATACGTTGCCCAGGAAGCACCACGTGGAGGTAAGTCTATCGCACACCCCTCTATTAAGATGGCTAAATTTTGCGTCACACTTACTCAATGTTAGCAGTTTTGGCGGCCACTGACACTTGTTCCACGAATTAGCTAATTTTATTTTTGGACAACAGCGTTCTTCTTTGCTATTGAATACGCGCCAAAAAAAATTTTTGATTTTCCTAATTCTGTTTTCTGACGAAATCATTATCTACTGTCACTTGCAGAGGGCTAAATTCAGTTGAGTGGGGAGACATTCTAAGCACCCACAATTCTCTTTTGAGAATTTTCGTCATCTGCATGTCCGTTATCCTAGCCGCAGATAGTAATAATCAGTAACATGCAAATTTCTGTCTTCATATGACCATAGGTCAAATAATGAAATGTCTCTTTGAGAGTATTTTAGTGATAACTGTTATTTTCATTACAAAAGTTACTTTTATTTACGGTCAAAATGTACTCATTCCTTTACCCATACGGTTAACTGTAATGAAAGTTATTTACTGTTATGTCCTTCAAACACCATTCTTTCGTGGATATAAAAATTTAACTTTTTTTAATGAAACAATGTCATTGTGCTATTCGTAATATGATGCAAATTTTTATCACTAATAGACAATATTTATACTACTTTAAGAGTTNAATATAAAACTCTGCATAATGCCTCCACGTTGGAACCTATTCTTATCCGTTGACTTATTTACCTGGAATAACTGTCTATCAGTTTAAAATTACCCTTTTCTCAGTTAAGCCAAATAGTAAGGTTCTGTATGAAGATTGCTAGCCTTGACAATACCCAGAAATCTCTATGGCGGATAATCTTATATTTGTAAGGACTCCCAGAACCAGTTTAGCTACCTTAAGGTTGAAGAGGAAACAGGCTTATGACATGGAACATGTTTATTTGAGACTGCCTATTAAAGGGGGGAGCATAGTCATAAGATACGCCTTTTGAAATGAAAACCACGTAATGGCTTTGAGCATTGATTGGTCGAGAGGATTCTGTTCTTATCATGTCTAAGTTGTAATCCACACGATGCTTCTGATCACATGGAATCAACAAGTCACCTACGGGTTTGAAGGAATCATGGCAACAAAATAACAAAAAGCATCCTAAATGATAACATTTAATTTTAAGATTTGAATTACTGCCAATAATGGTCATTTAATATTTCATACTGTGGGGTGTGCGATAGATTTACCTCCACGTGGTTCACCCTGGGCAACGTATATTCATACGGCAAAAAAGTCAATTACCTGGCAGTTGACTTCTCACTTCAAACTGTCATCACCTCACTCTATGCCATATTCAAATATTTCAACAGTACTCACCTCACCTTTTTTCTACCTTTGTGTTTGTCTCTTGCATCTTTGAAACACTCTTCTCTTCCCCCCCCCCCTCTCGACTTTTTTTCACTTTGATGTTCCTTCCCCTCTGTGAAGTCTGAAGTCAAATACAGGGCTAATGATAACCATCAAGACGCCTGCCATTTGATATAAATAAATGTTTCATACTGTAGAGAATTTAAGTCATTTTATGAACTAGTAACTAATAAGTTTTATTGATAAATCAGAATGTTAACTTAACTATTTTAAATTTTCACTTAAATGTTTGGCTAGTGTGCTAACTCAGTGGCTAAGATTGCGCATTTTACTTACTAAAAGGTATCAGCGTCTACCTCTTATGACACAATTTGATAATGGCTGCATATTCTGATGAATAATGATTAAGATTTAAAAGTCAACTCTGACTGAACAAAAAATGCATGCGTATTTGGGTAAAAAACGAGGAAAATGAACTGAACATTTCAAGTGCTGATTCGATTCCCTTTTAGCAAATACTAGGCTGATTTGAGTACAGTTCTTAAATTAAAAAATGTAAATAATCGATCGACTTAAATTTGATAGTTTGGGCATGACACAGTGAAATATATGTCTTTTGGAAAAGCTCATAGCAGCGCATCTTGAATTAAGATAATGGCACATTAATAATTATCCTTTGTCACTTTCCAAGACTAAAGCCATTCAGAAAAAGGGATGAATGAATGGAGAGGGCAT